TCTGTAATGGAATACATTTTAAAAGTAACCTTCCCAACACTGATCACACGCTGTGCTGAAGGTGAAATGTTCTGTTTGTGACACTGAGAAAATCAGCATTAATACCCAAAATACTGCCAGTTTATTAGGCTGATGCTGTTATGTCTTAACTCTGTGACAGCAGCAGAAAATCACCTGACTGATATTTCAAAGTTTGATCACAGACAGCTGTCTACACAGATCTTCCTTTACAGGCATCAGCTTCTAACGAATGAGTGAATGATTTCAGACACGACCAGAATCACCTGGGACTTTCCTGGAGTTACAGATTTGAACAAGAAACCAAAGAAGCGTGCGCGTATTTATGAGAAACAGATGCGTTTCTTTACATATCATCAATTTATTATCCTGTAACTATATCCTACTGGCCTGCATTTGTTTGGATTTCTGGAACTTTATGCGAATCCGACATTCCTGCCCCGGTCTCGGAGGCAGTGCGAGGTTAAATCAACAACGCTCTTGATGCTTTTGCACCCCAGAGGCGGCAGAGTCTCTGCTGACATCAGCTTTGATGAAAGGACTTCACAGATCACGACCGAGGCCCAAACACACAAACATGGCACGAGCTACGAGTCTTCCCAGCTAAAGGCATCGTTTTCTGCTTACTGTCGATGTGTGGTTAAAGGATAAATGCAGCGTTTTAATAGTATAAAATCTTGCATAAGCCTTGCAGTAAGAAATATGTTAGTATTTTCACACTATACACATGCAGATCACATATCTGTATATTTACAACTGTGAAAAAAGGATAACTAAGTGAACATGATCATGTTAGGGTGTGCTACGCCTGATTCCTCTTTCCTGTGGGTGATAATAATGTGTAAGTGCTATAATACTAATATTGCTTTAGAATTAATTGAAACTCCACTGACCATCAATTTGCTCACCTAACAAGAGTTTTGGAAGCCCCTCAGTTTACACATGAGCAAAAGCACATCCATAGAAAACAGCCATATAAAATCCTTCAGTCACATTAATGTAGGGTACACAAGTCATTGTAAACACATGACACTGAAATACGCAACTCAAACTTTCCAAGTTTTCCTGAATAAGAAGGGAACGAGCTAATAAAAAGTGTGTTTGCTAACCACCTTACTGTTTTCACAATAGCTGCTTCTTATCTTTTACCCTTTTTAAATACAGTATGGACCCTTTTTAACATTTAAAAAGGGATTACTTGTTAAATTTTGTGCTTTTCTTTGCCAGGCATTGATTATCTGCACCTGTCTGGCCACTATTAGTCACCCTGGGAGGTTTGGATCGTAAATCTCTCTTTTCCAGTTGACATTGATTCGGTTACAGCATGAGGTAGCCGTACTGCTAACAGCTGTCAATGGCAGCCATAATAGTGATATCGAAATGTGGACTCGATGATGAAGCTAAGCGTGGTTCGGGTGCGATTCAGAGGGTGGAGCGCGCGCCCGATGTTGCTGTGACGCAACCCTGGTGGTATCACGGACTGTCAGGCCCTGCGGAGGACAGGACATGCCTGGACGCCGTTTCATCAGCGCCGTGAGACACCTCGCTCTCGTACAGCGGTGTAAATCAGCTTCCAGTGACCTGGATTAGCCCACGAGCTCCTTTCACAGCGAGGAAGGGGAACCAATTAGTCAGAAGCAGTTGTTAGGCTGGAGAGAGCTTAATTGACTCTGTTCATGCTTCTTTTAAAAAACGTTTTATCTGCCGTCACTTATTCCATTTCTCACCTGTAGCGTCTGCGTGTGTTCTCCCACAAAATGTTTTCATTGCTCTTAAGTGACCGCTAATTTACCAAAACCTCCCCATGTGAAAAGAAGCCCCTTCAAAATACGAAGAAAGAGCTGATTTTATTCAAGGGTGTAATTTAAAAGAGATTTGACTCCATCTCCAGCCCATTCTGTGGCCTCTTTTTAAAATCACACTTTTTAAGCTCAAATCTGCAGCACGATTTCACGATTCGAATGCCCTTGATTAGATGAAAGGTGGTCGTGCAGCACTTAAACTTAAATATCGCTCTTACTTCAGTGATTGAACAGATTTTTTTGTAACATTGTAACAGCTAAGTCAACAACACTGGACTATCATATAGTGAATTATGTGATAAGCTGGGATTCATAAAGCACAAGCAACAAGTTTAACTCTTAATTTGTGATTTGTATCTTCTCCTCTTTTTAATTTCCTGTTTTTAATGGGTTGAATTGACTCATGCCTCCATACGAAGCACT